AGTTTTGTTTCCTACCCATGGAAGAGACAGACAAATACAACAGTGTAAAGTGTAGTACTTTAGCGCTTAAAGAGCTATTATTCATTTTTTTCCTATTTGTGTCATCTTCAAATAGGTACAAACTGTATTTAATTCAGGGTACTTATTGTATATTTTAATTCAGTTTTTAAAAATAAGTATTTTACATATTTTGGATTTTTAATTAAAATTGTATTTAAAATTTCCAGTGAAATTTAGTTTTTGAAGTGTAGAAAAATCCCTCGTCAGCTTTCTAAAGTACATAGGGGCTTTCCAAAACTTTGATAATAAAATTTTGATAATACAAATTGAGTGAGCCTACCCATATATTATAATGTTTTGTGAAAGTATAATTATTGTCATTTAAAGCAATATTAATATACTAAAGAAGTAAAATTTGTGCATACTTCCTTTAATGAGTACCTGTTGAAAACACATAAACACATTAAGTGGCAGAAAAAAATCTCCTATAGAAGATACATGCAGTATCTCTAAAATTTATAAGGCTAGCAGTACCATGAGATTACATAATGTAAACATTAGAAAAATCTAAACATGTTCAGTGTTTTAAAAGAGTGCATTTTCCATTACAGTAATCAAATTGCTATCAAAATTTATCAGTACAAAAATAACTTCATAACCTGGTAGTTTACACATATCTGTTCTCAAAATGTGATAGCAGTTATTTATCAGTATTGTACTGCATATTTGAGAATCATAACACTGTAATGAACAAAATGAAAACTTTTAGATTTCAGTATTACATTACAAAACACTGGACTATTTCCAAGAGAATGTTATGCAGGCTTAAATCTTTTAAAAAATCTATTATTTATTATTTGTGAGAAGTAAGTATGTTCTAGAACTTGACCCAACTGACACTCTAAAGCAAACAATTGTTTTGTGGAAGGAGAGAGGAAATCCCTGCACCATATGTACCGGCTAGTATTGGTATCTACTTCACAGCTAGTTAAGACTATCAGCTCAAAGGCTGCCTTAAGACATCTGTGGTCAGTGGGTATCAATTCAATCCTTAAAGGGTATTATCATTTAGGTTAAAAATAATTATTAAAGAAAGAAATGGAAATTTAAAATATATTAACAGTTCTCCATAGAAATTAGTAAATATTTAATTCCTCATGATCTCCCCATTTCACACATTCCTAAACATTTAAAGCATTTAAAGAAGTAACTTGGTAGGGGGCTGGGGATTTAGCTCATCGGCAAAAGCGCCTGCCTGGCAAGCTCAAGGTCGTGAGTTCAGTTCCCGGTACCAGAGAAAAACCAAAAAAAAAAAAAAAAAAAAGAAGTAACATGGTGCCTCATTTCTATGAGCACCTGCATGCCACCCTTGAGTATGTCCTATATTTCTGTCTAAAATCTCTAATAAACAAAAAGTACATAATTCATTAATTCATTGAAACTTATTCAATAAGAGTAGTTTTGCATAGTTTATGACAGACATAAAACACTATTATAGTACTTGACTAAAAAGTATTGAGCAGTTCATACTTTTAAAATTTAGTTCAGCAGGATAATAAAAAATATCAGACAGTAAGTAGTAAATGATTCAAGGTAATCTACAATGCCATTGAATTAGACATAATATAAAAAGTTGTTTAACAGCTCAGTATAAGTTTTTTTAAAACCTCAAAATTAATTTTTTAAAAGTATTTGTGGGTGAAATATGACTGGGATTTTGCCTTAAAATAAAACAGTGGTAGGGTAGAGATGATGTAATACAGGTCATTTTTTAGTAACTGTTACAGTTGTGTGATATGTTCATGGGAGCCTGTTATAGTATCCTGGTGTGTATATATTTGAAAAATTTAATAATAAGATGTTATAAAAAAGTTATAAATCTTGCTTATATCTTCAAAATTATGTAATAGATTTTGAAAATAAACAAAACTTACAGAGTGAAGAATAAACTATATTACTAAAATTTTTAGGGCTAAATAAAAAATCGTTTATTAACTAATGAATTAATAAGAGGAAAGAATTCTCTGAATTTTAAGAAGAGTGGAAGTAGCTATAACTGCAACCACTTCATAATGAACTTGACTGACTACCTCACTGTTCCTGATGCTCCCAGTATTTATTAAGTACAGACATTCTTGTGATTTTGCTCCTTATGGAGCAGCAAAATGGAATCAACCAGAGCAAACAAATACTGGCAAAACTTTGCTACTCATTCTTTTTTTTTTTTTTTGGTACCAGGGATCGAACTCAAGACCTTGTGCTTGTCAGGCAGGCACTGTGCTACTGAGCTATATCCTTGGCCCCACTACTCATGGGGCCAAGTACTCTTTTTTGTTAAAACAAGCACTGAGGAAAGAGACTAACAGTCTCTCTCTCTTTTTTTTTTTTTTGAGACAAGGACTCGCTATGTAATTCAGGCTGGCCTTGAGCTCACTATGTAGCCCAGGGTGGTCGTGAACTTGTGGCTATCCTCCTGCCTCAGCTTCCTGAGTGCTGGGAATGCTAGGATTACAGGTGTGCACCACCATGCCGCCCAGCTAACTCTTTAAGAACATAAACTTTTAGTTCTCTTCCTTTGCTATGGAAAAAAAAAGAACAGTATATCCAATTTAAACACTTGAGAGTTTCAAATTTAAATAAAATTAATTTTAATATAACTCATGAAACAATGCTTATTTGTACATAGGTCTCCTGGGATAGGTACATTTATAGACTTCCTGACTCACAGTGTGCCTGTGCTGGGTATTTGACTGAAATATACTACTAGCTGACAGCACGTACTAGGTTGAAAACAGCTGAGAGGCTGATCCCAAGTTGCTGCTAATGAGCTATGTGACCTAGGACAATTCACCCAGATTCTGGGATTTAATCTTCACATGTTCCAAAGGCACATGCTTTCAAATTTCAACATTTTACAGCATAATCCAGTACATATTACTGAATCAGTCTCTACTCTCTTTTGTGGTGCTGGGATGGAATCTAAGGCACTGAGCATGCTAGTCAAGCACTCTACCACTGAGCTACAACCCCAGTAACTAGATGACTACTGATTAATATAAAGTCAAAACAAGTTCAGAGAATAAATCTAAAATTTTATAGTTCTTTTTTTTTTTTTTTTTTTTGAGACAGGGCTCATAGTTTGGTCTGGCTTTGAACTCACTATGTAGCCCGGGCTGGCCTCAAACTCACAACAACCCTTCTGCTTGAGCCTTCCCACTGTTGGGATTACAGGCATGTGCCACTACACCTTGCTTTAAGTATTCTTAAAATAAGAAAAATGCAAACAGTACATAGTATCTCTAACATAACTAAAAGCTTAAATTAACCTGCTAAGCTTTATATTCAGAACTCTGTCAAATATTTGCATGGCTAATCTATAAATTACAATACTCAAAGAAACTATAACTTCAAGCAAGGCATTTCCTATTAAACTGCTATAAACAGAGAAATCAGTTAAATGAAGACCAATCCGAGGTTAAGTAATGCCAAATACTAATGACCAACAAAACAATAAACATTTATAGAGAATTTTAGGTGTAGAAAGTAAATCAGAAATGTCTTCTTTGATGTTAAATTAGAAAGTTTTTATTTCTAAATGTCACAGTATTCAATGCAGAAGGTTCAACTTCGGTGCTAAAGAAATCAAGTATAATTATGTTCAGTGTTGTTATGTCTATTTATTAAATAGATTTATTAAATATAATTTAATGAGAAGGAAATTTTTCCTTCTTTCAATGTAAATACTTTGAAAATTGCATACTAATTACATCATTATTTGTAAGTAAAGAATATAATCTTTTGTAAAATTACAAAAGAATTAGCCTTTGAAAAATGGTTTAACAAATCATGTGAACATAGTCTTCATGTCAGAAGAACTAGAAATTTTGTGGTTAGCATGAAATCTGTTATAATTCAAAAATAAGTTTAATTATTTTACTCAAAATTATTAGCGTTATAACCAACGAATTAGAATACCTTTGCAGTCAAATAGGTTTTTCTTGTTCATTCCAAACACCTTTATCTAATTTTTCTACTTTCTCAGTCTGATCACAACCCTCTCAGTATTGATCTCTAATATGTTTAATTCTGTGCCCCTAGTATTCCACAAATTTAAACCAAAGTAGAAATTCTCATGAGAAAGAGAACTTGAAATATCTTACTCCACAATTGTAGGGAATATGATTTTTAAAAAGTGGCCTGCCAGAAAAATGTACAATAAAACAAAACTTTTCTTTATTTTAATTAACACTATTTAGTGAAAAGCATTCGAAGAATAAAAATTAACTTTAAGACTTTCTAGGTATTTTTTTTTACATTTGCAATACTACAATAGGCCTTTTACATCCTAAATACCACAGTATGGCCAATAATTATTGTAACTCGTTTATAACATATTTAAGACAAACTATCCCTGAAGACTACCAAATTTTTTCTTAAACTCAGAAGTAAGTTAGGCTTTACTTCCCATTGGCACACAAAAATAAATCTGCCATTAACATTAACCAGCTTGTGCTGGTTAATTCTCTACTAACTGCTTCCTTCTGTGAAATCACATGGTAAGATCACCCTAACGCTACAGTAATAATTTTAGATTAGAAAATCAATTTTCTAAAAAAACACAACTTCTACTCTTTAAGAACACATAGGAAAACAGAAACCAGTTTAACCCAAGGAGCTCTTAAGAGCCTATGTTAAAAAAAAAGAACCAACCTCCCCCCCAAACCAAAACAAACAAACAAAAACCAAACAGGTAGAAGGGATTTATAATATTTTGTTTCACTGAAAAACAATTTCTCTGTAATTAGCTCAATATTTCATATTCCTTCCACACAAATAAAGGAAATGTCTGTTCCAGTCCATCAATGTAGCAATATCCAAATTAATAAGAGAACTCTGACCTGGAATTTTCATTCAAAGGGTGTGACTTTGAGAGTATCTGAAAACAAATAAACTTTATTTATATATCTTACTTAATCATGATTGTGGAACCGAATCTGTACCTATGTGAAAATGGCAATGCGTTCTGAGTTGGCTCAGCCCTTGGCTCTGAGTTCTGGGTCACATCAGGTGTTCTCTCATCATCTGTCCCATTGATACTTTCTGGTGTTAAAGGGGACTGAAGATCTCCGCCTGCTGACTCCTTGCAAAAAAGGGGTGGGGAAGAAGAAAATAGTTACACTTTAGTTCAAGCATACAATATAATTTTAGGACTAAAACTGACTCTGCAGCAGCCTTTCATATGAACCAAATTTCCACTGACATGTGAGTCAGAGACTTACTTCCGTCTCAGTTTCTCAAGAAGCTGAGACATGTCTACACACTCAACAAGAAACAAGTTTTTGAAGCCAAACAACTCACAGGAAAACTCACCCAAATATAATACAATTTAGAAATGGACAAAAAACACATTCTAGATATGTAGCTTTAAAAAGCTGAAAAATCTCTGGATTAGTGTAAGTTTATAAATTTTTTTATCTGTCTTATTTTTCAATTCATAAAGAGCTATTCAGAAAAAAACCCAAAATAACTCTATTAACACAGCATATATAATGACACTAGTACATTTCAGCTTGTGTCTGTTACTCCTAAAGGAACTGTTTTCTCAGAAAATTTCCTCTTATTTTTAGTTGAAATAATATTTTCCTACCACAACGAATTTACCCTATGGACAATAAATGAAATTTAGTATGAACTCAAGCTGATACTTATTCTTCTGTCTGCCATCATCAGACTGTCTGAAGCTGGCAGTAGGAAGCAGAACGAGAGTCATCTGATACACTGCTGGCCAGTGGAGGTGCTGGCAACAGAATGCTAACAGGCAATGTGGCAGACCTCCCAGGACCCCTGGGCAAAGACTCACAACAGAAATACCTCTGCTAGAAGAAAAAACGAAAATTTCTAACAGAGTGGGTAAGAATGGACATAATTTGTCAACGAGAGAAAATTCCAATGAAATTCTTATTCTTCAAGTAAAATATGATGACTATTAGTGAAATAGGAAAATGCTTATAATCACAAGAGATATGAAAATATAAAACAGTATCCAGGTTATAACATGTACTTTACATTTAAAATGTTGTATATGAAGTGCTAGAAAGAAATACTAAAATATTAATGTGTGAGAATTTCTTTTTTGGGACTTTTGATTTTATACCACTATATGTATTTTATTTCATATTTATGTACTTTATTTCATACTTAAATAGCTTAACTAGTAGTACCATATTGCTATAAATTATATAAGCTATCAAATATCAAAAGTATGCTTTCTTAATTCCAAATTATCAATTAATCATTTTCTTTTTTTTTGTCTTTTTGAGACAGGGCTTCACTGTGCAGGTTAGGCTGGCCTTAAACTCACTTTGTACTCCAGGCTGGCCTCGAACTCACAGTGATCCTCCTGCCTCAGCCTCCCAAGTGATGGGACTATGGGCCTGTGCCACCCCACCTAGCCTCAATTAATTATTTTCAGTTGTCAATGGAACATCTATTTTGACCTTTAATTTCATGCTTACTAAATCTTTTTCCTGAAACTTCTTCATTTCCACCGATAGCCAAAGCATGAATAAAATCTACAGTATAATATGGCAACATAAAATTGTTTTAGAACAAAATCAAATTCTACTAATGGGAATTTGGGAACAGTAACTAAAAATGTTACTATTTGGTCAGTCATGGACCACCTTAGTTAGCGAGAAAAGATTTAAGCAGCCAGTTAAAAAAAAAACCCCAAAGAACAAAAATCATGAGATTAACAACTTTCATATTAATAAATGAGGCCTATGTTTGTACAAGACAGGCCAAATCAAATTAATCAAGGTTGACTGTCCAATCTGCTGAAAAGTTGGGCAAGATTTGATTCAGTAAAGATAACAGAAACAAATTATCTTGTTAAAATCAAACAGCATAAGCACAGTTAGAAGCCAAGGATTAATTTAGGAATTTTGAAAAGTAGGTTAGGATCAAAAATAGAGAAGATGGGCAGCAGTTTGATAATTGGTTCTTCCTACTTTATAGAGTAGACACCCGTCACTTCAGGAGGTACAATGAGAGGGGGAAGTAGACACTGAGAGAGCGGTTAGGCAGTAAAAGAAAGGAGAAGGAGGATTAAACACTGCTGCAGTTCCAGTTATCTCAGTGCTGCAAGCTTTTCATCAGGAAACTTAAATATCAGCTAGCTTCAATTAAAGAAATATTATATTAGATCGTTAAAAATAACAAAAAGTCTACCCTAAGCATGTTTTTAAAAACATCATATTTGCTCATGAAGACAAGAAAAAGTTTTGATAGTACATAAAAGCATAAAAGAAAAAGACACTTTTCTCCTACCACACAACCAAAAAAAAATTCCAGAAGTTTTAGATATGCTAAAAATAGTACTGTGAAATTTGTTTTTTATTTAACATATTCTTAAATCTCTAGTTTTGTCTTTTTCAGTCTAAATTTTGTGTATTTTCTAAACATTCAATTTTGGTTATTTTTTTAAAGCCACCCTATTCCTTTTATAAAACAAACAACTTTATAATTGAACATTAAAATAAAAAACTTGGGGGTATATTTATTGGATTACAAATTTCTGAGGGAAAAAAGGATAATTTCCCTTTAGGAAGAATCTTACAGTTAGCCATTTTTAGAGTAAATGCTCTGGAAAAATTATTAAATAACATCTTTCAGATACACACACATATATGTGCGTGTCTCACTCTCTAAGAAGACCCAACCAATTATAGCTTTTATACTTAGTACCCACGTTGAAATAAGCTCACATAATACAGTATGTATTAATATATAATATCATGTTACTATACCAGAAAATGACATAAAAATCTAATAATATCACAGTCACATTTCCTTGCAAGTACTAAGGGTCTCCATAAAAGAAAAAAAAACCCTGGAAATTGCAGACAAGTAACTATCAATATAGTTTACATAAAAAAAGGGAAGGGGCAATTCCAGTCAACAGATTGTATTCAAAGGCTTCATACAGTATTGGTGAATAAACACATTATTGACTTTTAATTATACATTTTAAAGTAAGAAATCATAAAAAAAACCTGTCACATTGACTTTTTTGATGAACATATCAACTACTAGCTTTGGTTCCAACAGATAAGAGTCTGTGCTGCACAAGCTCCGGTCCTCCCAATCCATCCACACCCCTCTGCCTACTCTTCAACCTCAAGAAGACTTACTGGTATCTCTCGACCCTCAGCTGTTGTGCTACTTTGTCAGGCTCACCCTGAGTTAACTCTCTCCATCATAAGCCTACTTTAAAATGAGCAGCTAATTGTGCTCCAAATGCCAGACTCCTTTCATCAGAAGCCAGCAGTATCAGTATCACCTAAAAAGTTGTTAGACATGCAAGTATTTATAGGCCCTTTCAGGCCTATAAAATAAGAAATTCTGGCCAGGGATAGTGGTGTAGGTCTGTAATCCCAGCACTTGGGAGGCTGAGGCAGGGGCATCACCATGAATTTGAGGCCAGCCTGGGCTATAAAGCGAGTTCAAAGCTAGCCTGAACTTCATAGAGACACAGAGAGACCTTGTTTCAAAAAAATAAAAAAAAAAGAAGAAATTCTTGAGGTGAAATTTAACAACTTGTATTTGGGCAAGTCTTCAGGGAAAGCTGATGCAGGATGCATGCAACTAAGGCATCTGTATTTTTCTAAATAACTATTATGTGCCATATACTATTTTAAGGCTGTATAACATTATCTTCACCATTAAAACCACATCACCAACAGTTGTCAACATTTATTGAGCATTTACTATATATTAAACATTCTCTAATCCTCAATGAATTCTCACAATAACCTGGTAAGAACATACCGTTACTTTTCTCATCCCCCTTTTCCTCCTAGAACATACTGTTCTTCCAGTTTTACAGTTGAAAAAAATAGTAACTTACCTAAATTCATAAAACTACCAAGGATTAGAGCCCCTGTTATTAACCATGACCTGACACTGACATTGTCATACTCATGCCTCTTAACAATTCTATAAAATAAACAATACTCACGTTACACACTTAGGTTAACAACTTTCTCATGATCACAGGATTTATGTCTAAATTTATGTGATTTGAAAACACATTAACCAGCCCCACATAAAGCCACTGGATTGGGATACTGGGAATAGAACACAGGACCTTGAGCATGGTAGACAAAGTAGTGTAGCACTGAGCTATGTTCTCAGCTCAAAAACTCATGTGTTACACCTTCCTTAAATAAAAACAAAAACTATGGGTGTCTACTATTAGCAATTATTCCACTTAAACAATTATCTACTAGTCTGTTGATCCTCTATTGCTGAATTCCTGAATAAATCTATTTTTCCAGGCAGAGCATTAATTCAGCAGATTGAATTAAAGTAGGGTATTATGAGTAGGAGAGAAGTTGTCAAAGGCCATACAATTCAAAGGAAATAGAGACATTAATTTGTCACACAGAGGGGACGATGAAGTGAAAGAAATAAATATCTTTCCTTACTATTTTCTCTGGCTTCTGTACACTAAATTGACATTAAGACTTCAAATATTTGAAAAGATAAATTAAGGTCCATATATTTTGATTTTCAAATGCTGATGAATTTAAGATCTTTATTTTTCACAATAATTTCCAAACATAACCACCTTAGCTGGGTGTGGTGCCATGTCTGTAATCCTAGAACTCCAGAGGCTGAGGAAGGAGGAACACTGTAAGTTCAAGGCCAGTCTCAACTACACAGTGAGACCCTGTGTCAAAAGACAAATTTAACCATCTTTGCTACATATTTTTTTGATGAAAACAAAGGCATAACGACATTCCTTCCACCAAACTGGAGCAAGAATCTTAGCAACCTGTAATAGTTCACAACTAATGAAACAAAAATTTAAATTATGATCAGAGAAATAGCAACTAAGAATAACGACAAAGCTTAAATCCATTACAAGTTTGTTGAAATCCTCTGAGTACACTTTTATTGAGTGTGCTGTTTGTCCCATCTTCTTATAATAATAAAGTCACCTGAGGAATCAGTACTTCCAAAATGTAGTTAATTATAAATGGGCTTCTGTGCTTCAGATCAGGACACTATCGGAGCACTCAGAATGCAGATTCAAGAGAGGTTCCAAAATGATCACTCATCTCACTCTAGGTCACTGCAAGTGCAGAGCCGTAATGGAGTTTTGGCTTAACTTCAGAGTAAACCTTCAGTCTGTCACAAAATGTATCTTTAGACTTAAATAGTTATCCTTTTCTACTAAAAAATCAACTCTTTTTTTGTATTTTACCAAGTACAGTTGGATGCCATGGGTAGGGAGGGACTTGAAAAACAAGTAATTTTCTAAACTATTCAACCATTTGGCTATTTGGTAAATTCCAAGGCAGTTCTTATTTACTTCAAGAATGTTACACATACATCTGCCACTGCTGACATTATTCCAGAGAAACATTTGCAGCATGACTTTCTTTTTGTTTTGTTTTGTTTTTTGGTTTTTCTCCGGTACCAGGAACCGAACTCACGACCTTGCGCTTGCCAGGCAGGCGCTTTGCCGCTGAGCTAAATCCCCAGCCCCTGCAGCATGACTTTCTATAAAAGTTATAGAGTACTAGTTAGAAGCGATTACTATGGAGTGTACAAAACAAAGCTGGACCCTACTCTTAAGAATAAACTTAAAAATTAAGGTTAGGAAAACCTACTATTAAAAAGCTGAGTCATTAGCATTCCATATGAATCATATATTAAAATCTTTATAAAATTATTGAAATGTAACTATTAACTGAGCTTTATTTAAAAAAAGAAAAATTCTGATGGACAGATTATTTATTAAAGGAAATATGATTGATACTTTAATAAAATTGATAAACTTTGTGCTTCAGTTCTGAGCATAAAGATGTTTTAACTTATGTAACATCATGTAGAACAAGACATATATTTATATTTTAGAATTTTTTTTCTGCATTTTATGTTTTGACATTTTAAGAACACCTTCTGCTCAGGGAAATACTACCACTCTCCTCAGAGTGTCCAATTCTTTGTTTCTTTTTTTTTTGAGACAGGGTTTCACTATGCAGTTTAGGGTGGCCTTGAATTCTCTATGTAGCCCAGGGTAACCTCGAACTCATGGAGATCCTCCTGCCTCAGCCTCCTCAGTGCTGGGATTATAGGCATGTGCCACCACACTAGCTCCAATTCTTACAGATACCCAGAACCCCGTGCAGAGCATACCTCTGAAATCCAACTAGCCAGCCCACAACCGTACTTCCTGTCTGGCCCGTATACTGCAGAGACAATACCCCTCTGCCTTAATCACCCCGAGCTGAAATTGTTCAAAGCAGCCAACCCAAGACTGCCTTCACTGCCCCTTTCCAGTAGAAATCCCAACAAAGGCTCTACCATGACTTTTCCTTTGCTCTTGCTTTTGCTTCCTGACCTTCCCTGAAATGTCCCACGTGGCTCTGCATGGCAAGCCACGCCCAGTCTCTAGGACCTGTGAATATACTAACATCTTTTGTTTTCCTAAGCCTCTCTTGTGGCTGAATTGCCTGACCATCACCTAGAAAAATAGGAAACACAAACACAGACCAATCTGTGATCTTTGTGTACTTTTGCTTTTAAACTGTTATGTACATTAAATACTAAATGAGTATTGAAATACTAAACTGAATTTTAAAAAATATTCTTGTAGACACTGACATCTTTCTCTACCAAGAGAGGTTAACTAAAGAAAATACTGCTCTGTTCAACTGGAAATTAATTTGCTGTTATTTCCCCAAATTTAACTAACTCTGGTGTAAAGGATACCATCTGAAATAAACAAGCCTTACAAAAAAACAGGAGTGAAATACTTACCTGTGAAGGTGTACTGGTAAGTTCCATCTTCTCCTGTGATTTCTCCTTTGCTAGACGAGCAGCTTCTTTAAATTCCTGAAACTTTTCTGCAAACTGAATGGATAAGGACTATATATGTTAATCAAATAAGCAGTCACAGTGCCCACCTTTACCTTGGCTTGATTTGATTTTTGAGTAACTGGCATAACCTCCAGAGCAACAATAGTTTATAACACGAAAATGACAGAAAAAGAAGCGTGACACCAAACATCTGTTGTCTATCAAGTACTACGAGTCTCATTCAAAACATCACTGTACAGCAAAGTAAGAATTAGATGTCAGGAAGCTATTTATATACCTCCCTGGTTGTTCAGAAATAATTTACTAAGACCAAGGTGGAAGTGGAATCAGCAAAGAGAGGCACAGTACGTTTTGTTTATCTGAGAAAAATGGGTATAAAATATGAACAGCAAAGTGAGTAATAATCATCTTGATCATCGTTTTTCTCTCTTTCTATACTTTTTCAGTGTAATGCCCATCAGAACTCAGGGTACTGCTGGTATGAACAAGGAGTCCATGGCTTTCACTTATGGCAGGACAACTGTTTTATTTTCAATATTTAGCCTGCTAATGTGCCACATTTTACTGGCCTCTCTGACCAGTCATTAGATTGGTTAGTATTACCCAAGAATTCTTCATGATGTCCATTTGATCTCACTCACTATTCCATCAGAAAGTTCGGAGTACTCTACACTCACTTTTCTCTAAATACAAAAATGTGTGCTGGGCATGGTGGCACATGCCTGTGACAGCCTAGCTCTCTGAGAAGCTGAGTTAAGAAGATACAGCAAGGTCAAGCCCAGCCTGGGCGACTTAGGGACTTAGCAAGATCCTCTCAAAATAGTAAGAAAAGAGCTGGTGATACAGCTTAGAGTAAAAGCCCTGGGATTATCTCTAGTGCTGCAAGAAAAAAATTTGTAACAATTTATATGTCCCTGGTATCATATCAAAAAGCTTAAATCTTTACTACTATCACCTTCAGATTCCACAATTTAGAAGAGGTTGGTACTTGCCTATCTTGCAGATGATTTCCAACGGAAAGTGTGAATCTCTGGACAAAATCCCTTCTGAAGTGATAATCCCCACTGTTTAACTCCTGTCATACAAGTATTAACCACACAAGTCCTTCTCACTCGACAGTGAGTGCTTTAATGTGTACAGTACATTTTCTAAGCGACAGGAGGATCAATGAAAGCTTGCTCTTTGCTCTAAGGTCTCAGTTGTTCTGAGAATATTAAACAAATTCCTCCACTACTTTATACTCTTCACTTGCTGTTATAGGTTTAAGACCTATGAATGGAAGATGAAGATTTTCACTCAGACCTTACGATTTAACTTACTTTTGAAAGATGATGTTCAGAGGAGAATCCCAGTCCATAAACAGTGTTTGCCCGGCTATCAGCCCACTGGCCAAACTTCTGAGATGTTTTAGTGAATGTCATGTTTGGGGTGATAGTGCTATTTATTATTGCCTAAAAAAGAAAGGAAGTATGAGCAACCAGTAAAAAATGGACAAACAGGTATTTAAATAAAGAACCATGTAGTCACACAAAAGTTTAGGATCACTAGTAAGTCAAAATGTTAAATATACAGATAGTGGTAAAAATAGTTTCTAGCCTTTTAAGTGACAATGTGGAGGTAACAATTTCTAATAAAACTATAAGTAAAATGGTATTCTCTTCATCAAAAATTTCAGGATCTTATACTCAGAACAAATATTCCTAGAATCCAAAAAATTTTCAGTTTTTAATGTGGTCAGATTCTTCCTTTTGAGAATTTATGATCACTATTTATTAATTTTGGATGATACTCACCGGAAACAAATAGACCTTGGCCTCAATCGTGTTTAGATATTTAAAAGTTGGGTCTGACTCTCCAAAGAATCTTTATCATTCAATTTCTTAAAAAACTGGTATTTTAGCAACATTATTAAATATTAATTTCAGTAATCATGATAAATTTCAACTATTATAACATTAACTCATGATATCTGCCAGTACTAGAAAAATAGAGAATTATTTTTATTTGGTTAGGCCCTCTACAATATGGTTCCATAATAATAAAAGGATACATATTATTTAATCCATAAGCTGCTATCTGGCAAACTATTAAATATGGAGTGGAAATCAAGTATTTTTAGAACAAAGCTAAATTTGTTTACCAAATGAACAACATGATTAATGTAAAATGTTAGAGTTATGCAGCTATGGATAAAGTTACAACATGGTCAACTGCCTTACTAAAGAAGACAATAAAACAGAAACTGGTCCCTTTCTTTCTCTCAGAGATAAGTAGATGCATTATTTATTGTTATATGAGAGCCCACATTCTCACTGAGAAGTTGTAACTCATTCTTATATAGCTTCCATACCCTTCAATTCAAAAAGGCTTCCTCAGCATATCATTTCAGATGTGTAAAATGTGGCTAACCACTAATTTGTAGGGCTATTATCAAATAAAAGAGTAAACAGAAAAAATTTATTCACAAATGGCAAGGGACCATTCATTTTATTCAACATTTTTTGACTGAGTACCTATTAAAATGCCAAGCACAACTCTAGAAATTTAAGAGAGGCAATGTAATTGTGGACTTTATTGTAAGAACAGTCAGCCAATGAACCAGTGTGGAGAAGGACATTCTTTAGTTTATCTTTCAATGTATTACCTATTTGGGACTTGGGGCTGACCAAGTCATATGACTGTTTGATTCTGGAGGAAGTCTAGCAAAAGCATTTGTGTAAAAGGAAATGATAGCAGGACCTGTGTCCCTGTGGAAAGCTGCTGGGATAACACTAGATGCTTTGCTGAGATATGCCCAAAGGAATGATAACACCATGGCTAACTAAGTCAAGTCTCATTCCTGTGATAATTAAGTTGTATTGTGCTCGCCAATCCTGTTGCTGCTTTTTGTTTTTATTCCAATAGGCTAAGGAGGATGGTAATTGAGGCTTCAATCCGAGAGGCTGCAAGCCCCCTGATCCCGTAACTATCTCTCTCTGGTTTTTCTTTTCATCTGAGGGCACCTCATTCTCGGGACCTGTCACCCCAAACAGAAACCGACTATACACCGACACACCAGTAAATAAAGAGCTGACAATTTCAGCAGGGCAAGGAATTAAGCCCCTAAGACCATGATGTGATAGGGTAGGAGGCTAGCCAATAAAGACTACCCAGCACTGCTTAAAGGTATCATGGTCTTCAGTCTGCAACCTGAGTAGTATCTTCAAGTAAATACAGCATTTTTACAAGAGATCCTAATAACTCTCAAAATGTAGTGTGGCAACACGTTTTACAGGCATCTAAGAAAGCAGGACAATGTGCTGCTGGTCTCAGACAGCACTGAATTAACTACTTCAAATGAGTGTCTTTCTGCTTTGTTAAACAGTTCACATAATCTCTACTTTGAACCTTTCCTATCCCTCTATCTTACTTGTTCTTTAGTGATTCAAGAAAAAAAAAAATCCCACATTTAAAATGTTTATTCTTAGATTCTTTGGTAGAAGGCTACTATGAAACCTTTAAAAGAAAAATTTTAGGGCTTTAAAATAAGTATGTCTCTCAATCCTGGAGTTCTATTTTCAAGGGAAAAAGGTAAAAACACTGTGTCATCACAGATCATGAAGTGCCCCATTCCTGGCCCTTGGCTATACCAGTACCTCAGCAGCACGATCAGAAAACCTTAAAGCAAATGATGCATACACAGGATAGGCACTGCCTGCTCCTGCTTACCACAAAGCAACTACTCCTGTTAAGTGCTACAGTCACAACTGAAGATACTCATGAACTTGGACTCCAGATCTGCTTCAAAAAGTGACAAGAATGATGGGATAAGTATGTTTGAAATGGGGGAGAGTATTGTGAGGAGGATTAATGGCAATCCATTTTATTCTGTGGTATTTCTTTTAGACACTGTTAGGGCTTATACCTAGATATCTTCCCAAAGCCTCATGGTCACAGGCAGAGCCTTTCAGAGACAGCTGGATCTAGGGTGTGTGATGCGGGGATTAAGAACATGATGGTGGGATTGATTGATGGTTTGATGCTAGGATCAAGGATACCCACCATGGGTGTGAGTGCTACCTGCGGAAGGGTGGGTAGCCTGGATAGGACATAAAGGACAGAAGGATGGTCACTGCTTATCGGCTTGCTGTGTGCCATGGACTGTTTCTCCTCTGCAATGCCCCTCTGCCAAGCCACCCTGCCTTGGAGCCAGCTATGGACTGAAACCTCTATAAACTGTGAGCCAAATAAACCTTTCTTCCTTAAGGAAAAAAAAAGGAAGTGTGGTAGTTTAGAAAAGTACCCAGAAAATGAAAATTTCATAAAAAATACAACTATACTACAGAAAACAGATTTGGTTGAAACAGTATACATTCTAATATGTTCTAAAATGAATTGCCAAAAGTAATAATTCACATGAAGATTATTTAATCACCAAATTTCTCTTTCTGAAAATGAAGTATCTTAATCTGGGGAAGGTTAGTTAGCAGCTGAACTCTATTTAATCATTTCCACATAGCTTCCTTTCTTGGACATGGGACTACTTCAGTTACCTTTACTTCTGTGTGTCATTTAACCTTTTATCTCATAAAACTGCATTTCACCTGGAATTTGGGCCAAGAGACAAAATAGATCACAGAAATTAAAGGTTCAAGTGAAGGAAAAAAAAAAAATCCAACATTCTAAAGCCTGAGATTAAAAAAAAAGATAAAAGAAGATTTAAAGAAAGAAAAAAAGGAAACAAAGCTTTGTAAATAGGGAGGGGAAGAGGGCTTGAAGGGAGGAGAGGGTATTGGGAAAAAAGAGAAATCAAAATATATCATATACAGGTACAAATTCCCTATGATGAATATGATCATTATGTATATCTAAAATATACCAATAAACTTAATTAAAAAAATAAAGCCTGAGATAGTATCTATTGCTTTCAGGAAGTAAGTTACAAAATTATTCTTCAACTAAATAATGCTTGACAGAACTATTTCGTAAGTCCCCTAAGTAAAATATGAAGAGCATCAATTTTTCAGTGAATATAGGTTAGTTTCTTATGTATAAGACACAATGTACAAATAGTCTTGGAGGTCATAATCTAATTAAAAAGCTAAGAAACGAACACACCAAAACATCAGACTAAAAGCTTATCATTAAATTACCTTTTACTCCTAAAAGGCCATAAGGTAGTATATAGTTACTAATCTAATATTAATACTACTAATAATGGCAAGTGTTTATACAGTGACTAGTATCACCTTTGTACTTCTGCTAAACTTTATTACTTTTCACAACAATGCTATGGTGTAATAATGTAAGTCTTTTTATTACTTCCCTTCTACAGATGAGAAAACTCAGGTACACAGAAATTAATACCTTATAATCACACGGCTAGCAATACAAGAGAGAAAAAGTCAAATGTGACAGTTTACTTTTGTTTTTTCGTTTTATTTTTGGTTCTAGGAATCGAACTCAGGACTTGCCAGGCAGGTGCTGTGCCGCTGAGCTATATCCCAGGCCCAAAGGTGACAGCTTAGCTCTAGATTCTACTCTTTTATACTGAACTGCTAAAATCCGGGGTGAAGGGCTTAGAACAGTCACAGGGCTTCAAGAAAGCTTGAAGGAGAAAAATGGGAAGCTCATTGTTTTACACTATCCAGGATCTGATGCTTGAAATTTCTTTATTTAAATCAGTTGTATGAAGTTTATTGATGATAAAATGGATTTTTCACTACTAGTTTCACTACTGGTGGGACAGAGGTCGCTCAGCATAGGTGAGGCTCTGGGTTCTGTCTTTGGTAATGCTGGAGGAGGGCATTTTTCTCCTTCTGAAGGGTATCCTACCTACCAGGCACTATCCAAGGGCTTTACAGGGAGAAGTCTTCTAATAATTACCAGTACTTAGAACAAGGTGGCTCAGAAGAGTCATCCACTCCAAGTCAAAATTTTCGGTAACTGGTGGTGGCACTGCAAACTAAACCCAGGCAGGCAGGCCTTGCTCTTAAGGCTTATGCCACCTGCCTCTGCTAAAAATAAAACCTCAGGGTTTGGGTCCTCACATTCCTCTCAGTATGATACTGACAGGCTTCCTAGGACTTCAGTTTCTGAACTGCATACTCATCCTCAGAAGTTGCTATGGCATGGCCATGATTAACCGCTTCCCCCAAAGGTCGTGGAACTGGAAGGAGGCAGCGTGGAACCTTCCAAGGTGGGCAGAGTGGAGGGGCCGCAGGTCTTTAGGGTGTGATCTGGGAAGGCAGTTCTCAGGTAGTCAGTGCTTGAGAAAGGTTCCTTATTGGGAAAATGAGTCCAGTCCTCAGCTGTCTGCTCCCAGTCACTCCATGTGCTGCCACCCTGCCTTTCTAAATTGGTGCCACGCACATTCAGCCTCTAATACGGCAAGTAAACACACCTCTTTCTTCATGAGCATCCTGTGTCAGGTATTTCATTACACAATGAAAAAACTGACTAATATGGAAGTGAGAAAAATTCTAGGTTCTGGCACGCTACATCATGTCTATTCTGTTCACTGCTATATTGCTACTAGCTAGCACACTGCCTGACCAATAGAATATTTCAGCATATAACTCAATATAAGAAAGTGGTTAGTCCAAGCAATTTAATGAACAAAAACTGCTGTTACCCTAATGATCAGTTTTCTTTCTTACAAAATTTTCAAATAAGCTGAACGTGGTGGTGCACATCTATAATCTCAGCACTTGGGAGGCTGAGGCAGAATAATGATATGAGTTCAAGGTCAGCCTGAACTACAGTGAGATCTTGTCTCAAAAAACACCAAAAAATATAATAGAAATATGAATAAAACTAAATAGTGAATAAAATTAAATAGCAATATTATTTAAAGTAAATATAATTTACCTTTGAGCCATCTAAACTGATTATCCTATACACATTTCTTGTGCTGTCATAAAAATAAGACACAGTAACTGCATGCTTGCTGGTGGGTACCCAGTTCTTCTTTGTGTTTGGGTCAATCTGGAAGACATGAGCTCGAGTGCTGAAGATAGGTTGTTCCCTGCAGGGCAGAAAAGAAAGTGACACAGTGAAAGCAGCCAGTTTTACTCCCCTGGATGAGAACACGAAACTGTACAGATGACGCTTAGCCACCAACTCCCACACACCCCCAATAAGAGAAACTTTCTTTTAATTGTGAATATTCTAAGTAGTCAATGATAAGTTTCTTTAAAACTATTAGAATCCATTCTGGTTATTTACATATTCTGTATATACGAATTCACCTACTCCCTAAAATTTATCTGTAACCCCCAAATTAAATATCTGTGGCACTGTCTTAAGTCTTCCATAGATATCTAAAGAGCAGTGAAAAACCATGAACTGCTAATAGGCACATTTCCATCTGAAGGTGAACAAGGTGACACTCTGGTTTCCTGTTTTAGCATTCATAATATATAAACAAGTGTCCTTTTCTCAGTCTGTTTCACACCATGCTTTCTTTGCATTTTTGTCTTATTGATAGTGCTTTTGCTGTTTAAAATGGGTTTAAAACGCTGTGATGAAGTATTCCTACATGCTGTATGTTCCCACGTGTAAGAAGTCTCTGACATGCCTTCTGGAAAAGATACGTGCTAGATAACGTTCATTTAGGCACAAGTTACAGTGCTGTTGGCACTGGCTCAGTAGCAGCACAGCAAGGTGTATGGACATAAGGTCTTTAAGCAGTGAAACAACACTAATGCACGAGTGGGCTGACTAGAGTGCTATGCCCAGGGCTTTGTTGAAAAAGGACACCGTAGTTACCCGAGGAGAAATGGTTCACTATTTGGTAATTCAAGGTTCCTGGAACCTTACAGTCAGAACTACTATGACTAATAAGAAAGGTCTACATTCTGTTAAGATGCAAGTATCTTGTATTTGACCATCACATGGTTAACAGCTTTTACCACTAACCACATTATCTTGGTAATAGATAATCTACTTGGAAAGTTTACATGCAATGTATTTTACATGCACATACTATCCAGAAAAATATATGGAAAACAAAGTTGCTCAAAAACCACAATTTTTTTTAGATTAAGTGGGGCCTTAAAGATGTGAGGTTTAAAAACTCATTGTAGAGAGCCAAAACAATGCAAAAACATTCAATATACTGTTATAAAATTTATTACAGTATGAAAAACAAGCATGAATTATCTCTATATAACAGAAGCTTCATAATGTAAAATTTGTCAAGTTCTAAATAAAGTTTTGGAAACAGCATTTCTCACTTTGTTGGCATCCCCCCCGTATCACTTTGTCTCTCTTTTTACTATATACTGCTCTTTTCTGCAGCAGCTCAAAATCCTAAAAGGAATTGTAATTTGTAACATTTAATGTTTATAATTAAATAAATTCAAAATTTTTACTTTTAAAGAATTTATCCCAGCACTGGGAAGGCTGAGGCAGGAGGATTGCTCTGAGTTCAAGACCAGCCTGGGCTACAAAGTGAGTTCAAGGCCAGCCTGAACTGCACAGTGAAACACTGTCCCAAAAAGACAAAAAAGAAAAAAATAAAATATTTTAAAATAGTAAATTTAAAAAGAGGAAAGGAGAGAAATTAGGAAAATAGTCAAGGCAATCTGGGTCCCTCACAAAACAACTCATCAGGTTAGTAACAATGGGCTAGCTGCACAAGTCTGTTAGTCCTTAGAGTGGTGGTATGGAAGAGTAGTGCCTTCCTACAAGTAACCTGGATCTTGCCCAGTTTTTTTTTTAAAACTTCCAATACAACTTTTCCTTTTAAAGAATTTCTTTTTAAAGGAAGTGATAAATTTTGTGCTTTATCCTAAAACATGGACCAAGAAGTCATCTCTTCTTGCTTAAGCACTATTATGTATGGATTTAGTTAACAAACAAGTGAGCACGCACTGTGCTAAAGTGAAGAATTCAGACCTGGGAGATCCCACTCATTTCCTCTTTTCCCTTTCTCAGTCTCTGACTTGCAGTGAGGCTGCTTCTGTAATTTGATGCTTCCAGACACACTACAGTCCCTATTTTTCTTTTTCACCTTTCAATTAAAGTTCTACATACAAGTATTGTTGACTAGACTACCGGGCTAGTTCCAACTCAGGTAAACCTAATCACACACAGCTCCACTGAGGCAGATGAAGAAGGGAGGTGAAACACTATTCTTTACTGACTTTGTATTTTTTTCATTTTCATTTGATGGGGGGTAAACTAAATAGTGCAGCCTCATGAGTATACGAATGTGTTCTAATAAACATTTTCTAAAAGAATAATCATTAAAATAATATTGCTTTCACAAGCTTTCTGTAACCAATTAACAAATCTTTATTCAATGGAAATACTTTGAATAATGGAGATTCTCCATATATTAACTCACCCAATTTAATCCTCATTATTTTAATTCCTTTAAGAATACAAATCTTTTCACTAGCTAATATATGCAAATGACACAAGACTATCAACTAAATGCACAACTTTCTTCAATTATCTGCTAACTGGTTTCTCAAAGAACATTATAATTCAAGATTTCTGTGGTCAAAAGCTGACTTATCGAAGTCTAGATGATAAAGACTACAGAGATAGCTTTCACTACTGATACAGAGAACAGAATTCCCTGAAGTAATGAGAATGCCACTGTATTTGACAGGGCATACTAGTAAATGATTCAAACTTTTGATTATATCTATCACATGAAAAGAACCAGGATGAGGGCTGGCGATGTATGTAGCTGGTCAGCTGCAGAGCAACTGCCCACCATGCAGATCCTGGGTTCAATCCCCAACACTGGATGGATGAATGGATGGACAAATAGAATGCAGATGGGTCCCTGTCCTTGAAAAGTGCAACTTAAGCCAGGTATAGTAGTGCATGCCTTTTAATTCTATTATAGATAGCTAGGTTAGGTAGAAATATTATAGGTAGATAGGACTGGGCCCTCAAGAGTCAATGCAAAGATGAAAACTTATTACAACTGTGGCTGGAGGCCTATCTGCTGCAGGCCAGGCCTCAAGATAAAGACAGAATGACCAGGCCTACATGCCTCCCCAAAGGGTAAGTGATAACACCTGGTCCAATAAAGTCTAGCTAGACATCAATGACCTCAGTGGGTGACCAAGACCCTGGGACTCAACCTTTCCTGAAAAGTTCTTTTGTTCCATGACTTGCTTCCCCAATGGATCAACCTACGTGGCTACGCTTGTAACCTTATTGTTTGATCATGGTTTTGACTCATGTTGTACCCATCTCATGACTTTGCTCTATAAAATTTATGAACTATAATGAGAAGTGGGCTCACTGGCAACCCATTTGTGACCCCTCCTGTCTTCCGGGAGCTGTCTCTCTCCCCCTTGATAAATATTTCTTACTCGTAACCTCTGTTGTTCCTTAGAGTTCATTCTTCAGTTTTGGGGAACATGAGCTCGGCAATATCTGATATCTAACAGGTTGGGAGTTATAATATATTTCCCCTGTATCATTTGGAGGTCCTATATATTATTCTGTATCAATCCCAGCACTCAGGAGGAGGCTGCAGCAGGAGGAATGCTGCGAGTTTGAGGGCTACACACTGAGTTCAAGGCCAGCTTGAACTACACAGCGAGAACCTGTCTCAAAAAAAAAAAGGAAAAAGAAAAGTTCACTACAGTGGAAGGCAAATATGGTAACAATAATATGCTCTTCACTGTGATACAGTGTCTGAAAAGAAGTGACTAATGACTATGGTAGAGAAACTAACGCCTGATGCCTACGGAGAATTCAAAACATATTACGGCACAGTGGGAAGAGGGCATAGCACACCATTGTGTGTAATAAGAACATCAGTTAAAATGTGAGTGCCTTTGATTAATGAAGCAAAATCAAGAAATAGAGAAACCAGCTCATGAAGGTCTTCAATGGAAGCAACTGAAATTATAAACAAGAAACAATTCTGCTTTTTACCATGGAAAGGTAAATGTGGTTGCACCAAAAGAAGAGGGTTGGATGGGAACAACACTGGGCACAGGGAGGTTAGTCAGAGCCTCACTAAAGAATTACAGGTATTAAAAAAGAATAAAAATGGGAGGCTAGGGATGGAAGATATTTGACAAGATTAAAGGTATGAAGACATAATATTAGTAAGGTTTAAGTAACAACTGGATCTTGAGCAGTTGTCTTAAACTGGGGTAAAATCTGTCCCTCATGGAACATTTTAATGTCTAGAGACATTGTAGTTGTCATAACTTAAGGAACACTACTGGCATGTGGTCGTACAGGTCAGGGTAGCTAAATCTCTACAAATCACTGGGTTGCTCTCCATGGCAAAGAACTATGCAGCCCCAAGCATCATAGTGCCAAGGCTGAGGAATCCTGATGTCAGAGATGAAAGAGAAATCCGAGTCTCCTGGGTTGATACATTGCGTGACTGAAAAGATGGTAGTACCATCAGCCAGGATGGAAAACAAGAGTATAAGCTGAGATGTAGGGGAATGCAAGGGAGAGCAGGAAGGAACTCAGGTACAGACCCACAGAGTCTGCATGTAGAACTATGTGCGAAGAACCTAAAAACATCTGTTCATAGCCGGAAAACCAGGCTGGGGTGAGAAGTTTGGGGACTCACCAGAACTTTTGACCAGTCTAAGACACATTTCAACACTACGAGTGTCAATAGATTTTACTGAAGAGAAGCTGTAAAAGAAAGCATTAGAGAAGGTATACCTGAAATCCTAAAAGGCTTATTCTTTTAGACCAGAAATATATTTGAAACTGACTGTCGCAAGTGTCCAAGCACTAAGTTTAGTATCTTCTCAAAGAAACTGGATGGCATGCATAATAGTTAGTTCTGTATTAAATAAACCCATTTAAACTCTGAATAATCCAGCATGTGGGAAATTATTTCATCCCCAAATCCTTTTTCATATAAAATCCTTAACGTGTTACAGGGCTTGTATTTACAACCACAGGATGAGACTCAAAAGGCAAATTCTGAGGTAAATATTAACTCACTGAAAACTGGTTTGATATTCCATCATTTTACTGATATTACCGATTATACTTACATAGTGATGGTCACTAAAA